CACTAACCCTAACCCTAACCGCACTAACCCTAACCCTAACCGCACTAACCCTAACCCTAACCGCACTAACCCTAACCCTAACCGCACTAACCCTAACCCTAACCGCACTAACCCTAACCCTAACCGCACTAACCCTAACCCTAACCGCACTAACCCTAACCCTAACCGCACTAACCCTAACCGCACTAACCCACAGGCAACGGCAGCGGTAGCGGTGCGGCATGCACCCACACAGCTGCGACGTCACTGCTGCCCACGTTGTCTGTTGTGTGTTTCCCGGCGCTGAGACTGTTGGGGGTCACAGTGGTGCAGACCCTCTTGCAGGCGTTTCCTTTCCGAGTTGAACCCGAACTGCCTGCGCCCCCAGCAGCATCAGGGGGAACAGCAGCCCTCGCCCACTGCTAACTGCATCTTCTTCTGCAGCAGTGTCCCCTGCAGCAGGTGCTGAAGATGCTGCCGGCATTCCTTGATGCCGTGATTCAAGCCAATTTTCTCTGCCCCCTCATTTGTTGGGCCGCAACTTGCAAACGCCCAAAATGCCAAGGCGCACGCCACCCACAGCAGGACGGTATGAAACAATGGAAAAAAAGAGGCTTCAAACACCCTGCCACTTTCGCCGCAGCGCACTGCCCTGCATCGCAAAAGGCGCCGTGAACGCAGCATGCCCCCGTGGCACCGGCCCTCCCGCAGCGCGATCCACAACGGCTGCCCAAGTACGTCGATTCGACAAGGAGGCAGATGCTGTCACCACCGTCGCCCGCAGTCGCCTCGGGAATGTCAAAAGGTTCAAGCCGTTTTGCATAATTTGTCCGTTTCCTCTAGCCACAAACACGTCAACCCAACTCTTTGTCATTACCGAACCACGAACCTCCACCAACGTACTCGCTGGCGACGCACCGACGGTGCCCCGCAGACGGAGGAGCGTCAGGGCACACACAGCACGGCGCCGCACAGTAGCCGTCACCATCCGTCGTAGCAGCAGCAGCAGAGTCGCAGGGGTCGGTAAGCTCCGAGGAAGACAAGGAAAAAAAAAAAACAAGAAGGCGAGGAAGGGAAGCAGAGGTCGCAAAAAGGGGAGCGGAAAAAAGTGAGAGCATAGGAGAAGGAACAAAAAGATCACAGCCCACCAAGTCCACGCGCATAGAGGACTCCGCACCCACCCACGACGGAGCAGCCAAACCATACCGTGCACGGGACATGACGTCACTCAAAGCAACACCACCACACGCAGCGCCCCGCACCCCCAAGGGAAGGGAGAATGACCCACAACGCACCTCCTCCCCCTTTGTCTCTCTATTCCCTTCATACCCACGGAAGGCGGTAGCAGCAGCACAGGCGGCACTGCCGGCACCAACTACAAAAACATCCTCCACGCATACCGCAGCATGTATATATACCGTGTATGTGTGTGTGTGCCTGGAGATACAAAAATAAAAAAGAAGGAAGAAGAGCAATGCGTGTGAGGATGCACATACAGACACACAGAAGAAATGCAGGACGCAAAGCTAGAAAAAAAAGACATCTAAGACTTGAAGTGGCACCGCAGCACACACAGTGGCAACACACAAGAAATATGGTTCAACAAAAAAAAGATTACTCCTAAAATAGTTTTCACAAAAAAAAAATGTCGTGGAGGGCCCCTGTGCGATCCCCACAGTTCCACGCACAATTTGGCCGCATATAAAAATAAATGATATATTCGTTTCAACCACCGAGAGGCCCCGGTGTCCAGACACTGTTTAACTTTCACAGGGGCCCGCGGTGCGTTGCTGTGGCTCTCACTCCTTTTCTTCTCCCATCGGCGGACACACAATGCCGAGAGCGTCCGCAGCCGCCCAAGAAAAGCGGTTAGTTGTTGTTTTTATCCGTGTCTTTTCAAACCAATTCGGTGTCCTGCGTGCCAGCCAGCACCGTGGCACACGTCCGCACCCCCCAAAAACCAAGACGTAAAGGAGAGAGCCCCGCTCCCTCCTGCAGCAACAGCAGTGCGGGGCGCAGTGAAGCATCTCATACTGTCAGACAAACACGGAGGCTCAACGTTTTCGCTGAGAAACAACCCACAAAACAACAGTCAATAAAAAAAAACACATCCGTAAAGCAGTAAACCAACAATATACTGAACCGATACACTAAAAAGCAAATCGGTGAATGGCCCCCGCCATTGAGACAAACCATATAACAAATAAAAAGGACGAAACAAAAAACATGAGGACCCCGCTGTACTGGAGCTGATGAGAGAACGCAATTTGTGGGTCCAAGAAAAAAAAAGCATAAAATAAAACAAAATGAGTGACTACCTAACACGTTATTTGCTTCTGAAAGCGCATGAGAAACGGAGGTGCTCTCAGTAGAAGCACAAACTCCCCTCGACCGGGGTCCACTCAGCACAGGGCCGCAAAACTCCATAGCCCCAATAGCAGCAGGAGCAGCTGAGACACATCCGCACGCGTAGAGCCGTCACCGCTTCCTGAATCGGGCCTCACACGTGTAGGGTTGTCGAAAGCAACGGAGCTGTCACCTGCAAGTTTCCCAACTGCATTGGAGCTGTCATCCGCACGCTGCT